CCTTCCCAGTTTCCCCTTTGCAATTCCTCCTATCTCTTCTCCCCTCCCCCTGCTTCTATGAGCGTGTTCCCCCTATTATTCATACATTTGTTTTTTAATATGTCTTGGATTTCCTGAATGTTTTGAGTTAGAAGTTTTTATGTGTGGAAATTTCTTTGATCATTGTGTCAATATCTTCTTGGTTATCTTCTATATCTTAGATTAACTCTCCTACCTTTTGTATTTTGTTGTTGATGTTTGCATCTGTAGTTCCTGCTCTCTTTCTAAGTTGCCCATCTTCAGAATTGCGTCCCTTTGATTTTTCTTTATTGTTTTTATTTCCATTTTAGTTTTATTCAATTCTTTCACCTGTTTGATTGTATTTTCCTATATTTCTTTAATGGATTTATTTGTTTCTTCTTAAGGGCTTCCACCTATTTGCCCGTGTTTTCCTGTATTTTTTAAGGGAATTATTTATACCCTCTGTAAAAGCCTCTATCATCTTCATGAGATAGGGTTTTAGGTCATTATCTTGCTCTTCATACATTGTAGGGTAGCCAGGACTTCCTGTGGTCGAAGAACTTGGTTCTGATGGTGCCAAATTTCATTATGTTCTCTCACTTATGATCTGCTTGTTTCTGGCCATCTGCTTCTCTCTGGTGTTAACTGGCCAGAGTGTCTCTGATTGGAAATAGCCTTGGTGGAGGCAGTTAGAACTTTGTAGCCTGAGTTAGAACTAGTCTCTTTGGAGGTAAACAGTGTTATCTCTGGTTAGTGTGGTCCTCCTGTGCCTCTGTTTAGAGCAGGCCCCAGGTACTCCTAGTTACTATGGATCTCCTGTGCACATTTTAACACAAAATTGCTTGTTTTGAACTATTTTCACTATCTGTCAGATATAATGAAATGAGAATATACTGTCTTAAAGCTGTTAGTATCTTGAGACAAAAATATCACAAATTTGCAGACTTTGACATTTTCCTTTCTTGTTTTATTTATATGAACCGAAAATGTGTACTTGTTAATGGTTTATGATGTGGTATTTTATAATATTCTTTTTATTTACTCAGTAACCTAAGTTTAAAAAATGTCCTTTACAATTATGGCATGAAAAAATAAATGTACACTTATATGATTTTGTGAAAAATCCATATTTGTTTGTGGGTCCCCAGTTCCAGAGGGTGTCCCAGGATGATCTCCCAGATGAGGACAGAGTAAGAGCAGGGAGGGTCTGCTACTGTCTCTGCCTCTGCCTCCACTGGTGTCTCCACTGTCCGTTGGTCTCCGGCCCTGCCTGGTTTGAGAGATCTAGGCCAAAGGGTACAGAGTGTGAGCAGGGAGGAGAGATTGCCTGCTCTCGCTGCTGCCTCTGCCTGAGTCTCCACTGTTGCTGCTTGGTCACTCCCAGGTGCTGCACCTGTCTCTCTGAGCTGAGCTGGCCTGTGCTGGGCCAATAGGAAGCTGGCTAGCTGGCAAGGAAGCAGCTTGGTGTCCCAGGCAGGTTCTGGAAGAGCAGATATCTCCCCAAGTGTTACAGCTCTTGAGACAGAAACTCTCAGACACCAGGATGATTCTCAAACACACCTTTACTTCTCCTGAATAGAGCCCTTATGTACAGTTTCAGAGTGAGTTAGGGTCTGGCAGCAGATAATGCCTATTGGCTTGGTCTGAGAGCTTGAAGATACCTCATCTACATGTGGGAGAGTCTGAGGCACTATATCTTGTGACTGATGGTCATAGACCTCTTTTTGGGAGGGGCTGTGGAAGGCCGAAGCTGAATGAAAAGAACTAGGGCCTGGGGGCAGAGCAGAACACCTGTCATCCTGAAAAAGGTCCAGGGTTCAAGACTTGTCATCCAGGCACCCAGCTGCTTCTCCCAGCCAAGCACCCCACATTTGTTTCTGTTTATAATTGAGTTTTGGATGTAGGACACCAAGACTATTTGATTATAACTAGCTGTATTTTTATAACAGTAATAATGATTAATTATAGTTTTTGTCTCTGGATAAAGACTGAACTGAAATTATAAACAAAAGATAAGAAAATTATGGAAAAGAAAAAAATAAACTATCCTGTATCCAAAGAGTTTCTCAAGTATGTAACTTCTTTCATGAAATAGAGGCTATGTGATATAGGGTTGTGATTGGACTCTGATAAGTTAAAGTCATCAAAGTCACTTTTCTATGTGTCACCAGACCCAGTTTAACTGCTTTCATTGTCCCTCATGATGATTTTTATTAAATACTATTTAAATACAGAAGAAAGTCAATGATCAAAGCAAAGTGATTACCTGAACATGGACTTGTTTTCAATGGTTATGTTTTTGCAGTTTTCCACCACTGACTTTTTCACATTTCTGAGACAATTTACAAAGCAATTTGAATACCTTCTGCCTCTATTTTTCCCAAAACATTCCAGAAGTCAAGAACTGTATAGTGTTGACGTTCCCATTGCAGCTGAAGGAAGCCAAGATTGGAGATCTTTATCCCGGCTGTGCATCTGAGATTTGAAACCAACATGGAACATTACACACACACACACACACACACACACACACACGTTATTATAAGCTATTGAATTGATATTGAATTGATAATTATAACTTTCTCATTAGAGACAAGGAACAAAATCCTGATACAAACCCAATTGTTCTACTGTCACCTTCAAAGGTTCATTTAACTCTGTTTTGAAAAAAAAAATCTATTGAATATAAATTACACCCAGAAAAATAAAGTAATAAATATAACAGGCATAATTAATTCACTAAAGATAAAGACACTTTGTATCTCTGAATGAATCTCTTTGCCCAACATGTCAGGATAACACACAACCTGTTAAAGGTTTTGCTTACTACAAATTAGGGGTTAATGTTTTAAAACAGAAAATGTGAACTTATGTTTATTTTGTTAGAACAACATGGTTTTAGGAACAATTTTATGCAGAGTAATTTTTAAAAACCTGGTAACAAGTTCCAAAAAAGAAATCATAGTTTTAATTACATTTTCTCATAACGATACACAGAAGAGGATACTAGGAAAAAAAGCCATTCAAAGGAGGAGAAAAAAGCAAGGGAAAAGGCAGTTTCATAAAACTAGAGTCTGAAGAGCAGATTGAAGGAAAAACAATGGAAATTATCATGAGCAAAAGTCTGGATTTTTGTGGGATGATGTAAGAGGATAGTCTAAGAATGAATATGTAACAAATTATTTCAAACAGAAACAAAATTATATCAAACAGAAACTCCATGTTGCTTCATAACTGAATAGATAAGAAAATTTTCAACTTTTCATTTGTTCTTTGTGAATTTTACACCATGCACCATGCACTCCAATCTCTTTGTTCACCCCTCCCTTTTTACCTTCTCTTCATGCTTGCAACATAAACACAACAGAGGAAAGAAAAAAAAAGCAGTGGAAGGTGTAGTGTGCTTTAATGTATCCCACAGAATATCTTTTTTTTTTTTCACAGTTCTTTGGTTGTAAATGTTCCTTGCAATGATTCATTGGTCTTTTATGAGCTTTGGCTACTCTAACAGTACTGGAACCTCAATGGGACTCATCTCAGAAATCCTTTTGTTGCCCTGTGTCATGGAGACCTTGTAGTTTTGGATCTATAGCACTGGCCCCTTCAAACCCTCTACCAGTTCATCAATCAGGTTGATGTTTGGGTGGGCCAACTCAAGGCCCTGAAACTGGGTCTGAGAAGTATCAGATGTATTCGTCCACAAGATACTAAAGGGCCCTGGAAATGCTCAACAGCAACCCCTGTAACCAGCGCCAACTCTATTTTGCTGCCAGTTCCTCCACATGCCATTGATAGTGAAGGACAAAGTAAGGGAGAAGGACATCTCTCTCTTATCCACACCACAGCCTAGCAGACTAGAGGCTGGGTCAGCTTTCCAGTGTTCATACTTTTGGGAGTAGCACACCCCACATCTGGCATTAGCTCATCTGTGCTGCCCATGCGAGGTGCAGCGTCTGCTCTCCTGAGTACTGCATCAGATGAGGGGCAGATCTGTCTCTCTTGTTCTGATTACACTAGGCTAGCTCTCATTTCTGCTGTAGGAGGCAAGAGGTAGGTGGAGCATCTTTCTGTCACCCATGTCACTTTATGGAAGACAAGCTACAGGGCTAGCTCTTCCATGCTCACAACCTATAGGCCAGATTACTTTGGGCCCTACCACCAGAGTCAGCTAGCTGAAAAGGCAAGGTGCGAGGCTGCTCTCCTGCTTGCTGTAGCTGGAGAAGGCCATGGCAGCTCTCCTGCTGTCATGACTTCCACCTGCCATAGGTGGATAGGGACAATTGGGTAGGAAAGTATATCTCTGTGGTCCATGCCAGCATAGAGAAGACAAGTGGTATGGCTAACTCTTCCAGACTTGTATTCATCAGCATCTCTTGCATTGTGTGGAGCATGCTCCTCTGAGATGCCTAGGTAAAGGGTGCTGCCAGTTTTGCACAGTTTTTACACATCAACATGCAGGCCGTAACTGTACCATTATCCCAGATTGCATCACATCATGGCTCCTCACATCAGGCTGTTCCTCAGTACCTGAGTTCTTCAGTTCTGCATTTCTCCATTGTGTCTACTTCCTTCTGTTTCTCTTTCTCTTCCATTTCTCCACCATTTACTTGGTCTTTTTACTGGAACCTAGAGTGTCTGAGTGCCAAGGTCATCTCAGGAATGCTATGCTCTGCTTGGATGTTATGGTACAGAGCAGAGGTCATTTTGGGCATGGTCTGGCTCCAACTCCAAACCTGGCTGTTATCTCAGGCTAGCTCCTTGTCTCTATCCTGGCCTAGAGGTTCTGGCCTGGTAATTGCCTCAGTCTTGCTCCTTGTTGCTACTGTCCTAGCAGCCCTGGCACAGGTCTTCTGTCTTAGGCTCCTTCCAGGCTGTAGTCCGAGGTGGGGTTCTTCTAGTCTCTAGGTTTCTCCCCATCCTGAGAGCCTGTCTGAGCCTGCATGGTGCTAGACTGGAGGCTATCCCAGGCTAACTCTCTGTCAAGGGGCTCCAGATCTAGATTGGTGATTACTAATCGTTCAGACCTTCATAGATCAGAACATATCCACAGCTTCTCTCCTCTCTGCTACCGACTGACTTACATGTGACTCAGCAGCCACACTTACAATGCTTCTTCTAGGGGCACAGAGAAATATATTTTCTATTTTTCTTTTTTTTTTATTGGATGATTTATTTACATTTCCTACGTTGTCCCCTTACCCCATCCCTCACCACCCCCTCGGAACCCCCAATCCCCTCGCCCCTCCTCCTTCTTCTCTGTGGATGTAACCTCTATCTACCCCCCCCCACTCCCACCTCCCCACCCTCAAAATTCCCACCCCCTGGGGCATCCAGCCTTCATGAGGTCAAGGTTCTCTTCTTCCACCTATGCCCAGCAGGGCCCTCCACTTTTACATATTCAGCTGAAGCCCTGGATCCCCCCCTAAGTGCTCCCAGGCTGGTGGTTTAGACCCTGGGAGCTGTGGTTGGTTGGTATTGTTCCTCTCCTCATGGTGCCACAAATCCTTTCAGCTCCTTCAGTCTTCACTCTAACTCCTCTATTGAGAACCCCATGATGAGTTCAATGGCTAGTTGTGAGCATCTGCCTCTGAATATGTCTGACTCTTGAAGGCCTCTGAGGAGATATCCATATCAGGCTCTTATCAGCATGCACTTCCGGTCTTCCACATCAGCATCTACCTTTGGTGATTGCACATGGGATAGATACTCAGGTGGAGTGGTCTTGAGACGGCCCCTCCTTCAGTTTCTGTCCCTCACTTTGTCTCCATATTTGCTCCCTTGAGTATTTTGTTGCTCCTTCTAAGAAGGACCGAATCACCCTCACTTGGTCTTCCTTCTTTATGGGCTTCATGTGGCCTGTGAGTTGCATCTTGGGCATTTCAAGGTTCTAGGCTAATATCCAATAATCAGTGAGTGAATACCATGTGTGTTCTTTTGTGATTGGCTTACCTCACTCAGGATGATAATTTCTAGTTCCATCCATTTACCTAGGAACCTCTCAAATTCATTGTTTTTAATAGCTGAGTAATACTCCATTGTGTAAATATACCACATTTTTTGAATCCATTCCTCAGTTGAAGGACATCTGGGTTCTTTCCAGCTCCTGGCTATTATAAATAAGGCTTCTATGAACATAGTTGAGCATATGTCCTTATTATATGTTCGAGCATCTTCTGGGTATATGCCTAGGAGTGGTATAGCTGGATCCTCGGGTAATGCTATGTCCAATTTTCTGAGGAACCGCCAGACTTATTTCCAAAGTGGTTGCACCATCTTGCAGTCCCACCAACAATGGAGGAGTGTTCCTCTTTCTCCACACCCTCGCCAGCATCTAATATCACCTGAGTTTTTAATCTTAGCCATTCTGACTGGTGTGAGATGGAATCTCAGGGTTGTTTTGATTTGCATTTCCCTGATGACTAAGGATGCTGAACATTTCTTTAGATGCTTCTCGGCCATTCGAGTTTCTTCCGTTGAAAATTCTTTGTTAAGCTCTATACCCCATTTTTTAATAGGGTAATTTGGTTGTCTGGAGTCTAATTTCTTGAGTTCTTTGTATATATTGGATATTAGCCCTCTATCAGATGAAGGATTGGTAAAGATCTTTTCCCAATTTGTTGGTTGTCGTTTTGTCCTATTGACAGTGTCCTTTGCCTTACAGAAACTTTGCAATTTTATGAAGTCCCATTTGTCAATTCTCGATCTTAGAGCATATGCCATTGGAGTTCTGTTCAGGAACTTTTCGCCTGTGCCCAAGTATTCGAGGCTTTTCCCCACTTTCTCTTCTATTAGTTTCAGTGTATCTGGTTTTATGTGGAGGTCCTTTATCCACATAGACTTGAGCTTTGTACAAGGAGATAAGAATGGATCAATTTTCATTCTTCTACATGTTGTCTTCCAGTTGAACCAGCACCATTTGTTGAAAATGCTGTCCTTTTTCCACTGGACAGTTTTAGCTCCTTTGTCAAAGATCAAGTGACCATAAGTGTGTGGGTTCATTTCTGGGTCTTCAATTCTATTCCATTGATCTTCCTGCCTGTCTCTGTACCAATATCAGGTAGTTTTTATCACTATTGCTCTGTAGTACAGCTTGAGGTCAGGGATGGTGATTCCTCCAGAAGTTCTTTTATTGTTGAGAATAGTTTTCGCTATCCTGGCTTTTTTGTTATTCCATATGAATTTGAGAATTTCCTTTTCTAACTCTGTGAAGAATTGAGTTGGGATTTTAATGGGGATTGCATTGAATCTGTAGATTGCTTTTGGCAAGATGGCCATTTTTATTATATTAATCCTGCCAATCCATGAGCATGGGAGATCTTTCCATCTTCTGAGATCTTCTTCAATTTCTTTCTTCAGAGACTTGAAGTTCTTGTCATACAGGTCTTTCACTTTCTTGGTTAGATTCACACCAAGGTATTTTATATTATTTGCAACTATTGTGAAGGGTGTCATTTCCCTAATTTCTTTTTCAGTCTGTTTATCTTTCATGTAGAGGAAGGCTACTGATTTGTTTGAGTTGATTTTATAACCAGCCACTTTGCTGAAGTTGTTTATCAGGTTTAGGAGTTCTCTGGTGGAAGTTTGGGGGTCACTTAAGTATACTATCATATCATCTGCAAATAGCGAGATTTTGACTTCTTCCTTTCCTATTTGTATCCCTTTGACTTCTTTTTGCTGTCTAATTGCTCTGGCTAAGACTTCCAGTACTATATTGAATAGGTAGGGGGAGAGTGGGCAACCTTGTCTAGTCCCTGATCTTAGTGGGATTGCTTCAAGTTTCTCTCCATTTAGCTTGATGTTGGCTACTGGTTTGCTGTAAATTGCTTTTACTATGTTTAGGTAGGGGCCTTGAATTCCTGATCTTTCCAAGACTTTTATCATGAAGGGATGTTGAATTTTGTCAAATGCTTTCTCAGCATCTAGTGAGATAATCATATGGTTTTTTTCTTTAAGTTTGTTTATATAGTGGATTACATTGATGGATTTCCGAATATTGAACCATCCCTGCATTCCTGGGATAAAACCTACTTGATCATGATGGATGATTGTTTTGATGTGGTCTTGGATTCGGTTTGCTAGAATTTTATTGAGTATTTTTGCATCGATGTTCATAAGGGAGATTGGTCTGAAGTTCTCTTTCTTTGTCGGGTCCTTGTTGGATTTGGGTATGAGAGTAATTGTAGCTTCATAGAACGAATTGGGTAGTGTTCCTTCTGTTTCTATTTTGTGGAATAGTTTGAAGAGAATTGGTATTAGGTCTTACTTGAAGGTCTGATAGAATTCAGCACTAAAACCATCTGGTCCTGGGCTTTTTTTAGTGGGGAGGCTTTTGATGACTGCTGCTATTTCCTGAGGGGTTATGGGACTATTTAGATGGTTTATCTGCTCCTGGTTTAACTTCGGTACCTGGTATCTGTCTAGGAAATTGTCCATTTCATCCAGGTTTTCCAGTTTTGTTGAGTATAGGCCTTTGTAGTAAGATCTGATGATTTTTTGAATTTCTTCAGTTTCTGTTGTTATGTCTCCCTTTTCAGTTCTGATTTTATTAATTTGGATACTGTCTCTGTGCCCTCTGGTTAATCTGGCTAACGGTTTATCTATCTTGTTGATTTTCTCAAAGAACCAACTCCTGGTTTTATTGATATTTTGTATTATTCTTTCTGTTTCTATTTGGTTGATTTCAGCCATGAGTTTGCTTATTTCCTGCCTTCTACTCCTCCTGGGTGTATTTGCTTCTTTTTGTTCTAGAGCTTTTAGTTGTGCAGTCAACTTGTTAGTGTGTGCTCTTTCCAGTTTCATTTTGTAGGCACTTAGAGCTATGAGCTTTCCTCTTAGCACTGCCTTCATGGAGTCCCACAAGTTTTGGTATGATGTGTCCTCATTTTCATTGAATTCTAAAAAGTCTTTTATTTCTTTCTTTATTTCTTCCTTGACCAAGTCATCACTGAGTAGAGAGTTGTTCAGTTTCCATGTGCACGTGGGTTTTCCATTGGTTTTGTCATTATTAAAACCAGTCTTGTTTCGTGGTGATCTGATAAGATGCAAGGGATTATTTCAATCTTTTTGTATCTGTAGAGGGTTGTTTTGTGACCAATTATATGGTCTATTTTGGAGAAGGTACCATGAGGTGCTGAGAAAAAGGTATATTCTTTTGTTTTAGGATGAAATGTTCTATAGATGTCTGTTAAGTCCATTTGGTTCATAACTTCTGTTAATTTCAAAGTGTCTCTGTTTAGTTTCTGTTTCCATGATCTGTCCATTGCTGACAGTGGGGTGTTGAAATCCCCCACTATTATTGTGTGAGGTGTAATGTGTGTTTTGAGCTTTAGTAAAGTTTCTTTTATGTATGTAGGTGCCCTTGCATTTGGAGCATAGATGTTCAGAATTGAGAGTTCACCTTGGTAGATTTTTCCTTTGATGAGTATGAAGTGTCCTTCCTTATCTTTTTTGATTAATTTTGGATGAAAGTCGATTTTATTTGATATTAGAATGGCTACTCCAGCTTGTTTCTTGGGACCATTGGCTTGAAAAATTGTTTTCTACCCTTTAATTCTGGGGTAGTGTCTGTCTTTGTCACTGAGGTGCGTTTCTTGTATGCAGCAAAATTCTGGGTCTTGTTTGTATATCCAGTCTGATAGTCTGCGTCTTTTTATTGGGGAATTGAGACCATTGATGTTAAGAGATATTAAGGAAAAATGATTCTTGCTTCCTGTTATTTTTGTTATTAGAGGTAAAGTTATGTTTGTATCTTCTTTTGGGGTTGTTGGAAGATTACTTACTTGCTTTCTCTAGGTTGTAGTTTCCCTCCTTGTGTTGGCATTTTCCATCAATTATCCTTTGAAGTGCTGGGTTTGTGGGAAGATATTGTGCAAATTTGGTTTTGTCATGGAATATCTTGGTTTCACCATCTATAGTGATTGAGAGTTTTGCTGGGTATAGTAATCTGGGCTGGCAATTGTGTTCTCTTAGTGTCTGTATGATGTCAGTCCAGGCTCTTCTGGCTTTTATAGTCTCTGGTGAGAAGTCTGGTGTAATTCTTATAGGTCTGCCTTTATATGTTACTTGACCTTTTTCCCTTACTGCTTTTAGTATTTTTTCTTTGTTTTGTGCATCTGATGTTTTGATT